CGCGCTGATAAATTTCGAATTCGGTAAGACTTTTGAAGTAACCAGCATGAGCCCAAAACATCCCCTCTTCTCTCACCGTATAGTGTCTTTGTCACACTTACGGTTCGAGTGATCATTTCACTCGCACTTACGCTTTACAATACTCGGCGCGTGCGCAGAAGTTTTGTGTGAGTGCGAGTGAAGCAGAGAGATATGTATTGCTCTCTGTCGCACCCGACGGCGCCAGAAGAGGAAAAGCGCGCTTGGGGGCCCAAATATTAAAACCTGTATAACTTTTAACAGGTGAAAAATAGAGCAGAATTTTGCAGAGATGAATTGTTTAATTTTTAATTCTGCACATTTTTAGCCCAAAATCGGGCTGATCGGTGCATTTTAACCAAAATGAGAACGATTTTAATAATTCATTGTTAATAAAAATAATGAAAAAATTAATAAAAAAAAAATTTTTTTCTCTGAAAATGTACTTTAATATCTCATTTTTCGAAATAAAATGCCACAAAGTGATATTTGTAGCGTTAAGTATTTTTTATTTATTTTCTTAGACGCGACTGAAGCTTTCGTCAATAGTGACGCTTCAGTCACGAATAACTTTTTATCTATCATAGATATGAAAAAAATCGTTCAGTACTTTTTTTATTAAAATTAAATTCTGAACAACTTTTATTTAAAACATTTTTTCATATCTATCATAGAAATCGAGAAATTCGCGAGGGGGGGCGGTTTTTCGCGATTTACTCTCCCCTATGCGTGCCAAACATCTTTGACCTACACCATCGTGTTTCTCGCGAAATTTCCGATCTAGTCATCCATAAATAAAATCATCACTTTGGCCGCAGCAAACCAAAATTATCCCATTTCCCTCATTTGACTGGACTACGAGTCTAGTTTTAACATTTTTACATCTGAAGACGAACAAGTGGTACTTTTTTATGTAGGTAATCCGATTCTATGACTGATGCGGGTCTACCTTTTTACAATAGCGTTATTTACGTCGAAAAACCCACGGGTTAAGTGGTCAATGTTTGGCGCGTGCTCGATTACTTTTCGATAATTGAAACTCCGTACCCTCATCATTCGTCTTAATTTTTCGTTTCATTTAAAAAAAAATTTAAAACAAATCTATCAACTCCTTCGTTTTTTTATTTTTTTCTCTCCTGTTAACATGAAAGAGAAATTTTCTCAGAGAACGATGTTAGGAAACCATTCGTCTCCCATCACTACATGACAGAACTTGAGCTCCGCTCTACGCTCAGAAACGTTTCCGAATCTCGACCATTCTGCCATCTGACAGCAACAACACGTATCAACATTTCCGGCCACATTGTCCCATAAGAAATAAACTTCTATCTACGTCTCTCTTCTCTGATAACGCTTTCTGTGCTCGCGGAGTTACCACGTCTTTGAGGTTATCTAAGTTTTATAACCACATTGAGGATTTATAGTTTTGTTTATGTGAGACTAGTGTTGATGTAAGATGTCAAAATGCAGATTAAGTGCAGAAGAGATAAAGGATCTCGAACGGAAGATTGCAAAATATAGTAAAAAGATTGACGCATCGTTGGCGGGATAAGATGAAGAAAGTGAACCAGGCAGGTTTAGAAGTTTAATTAAAAACTGTACGTTAGTTATTAGACTTGGGGAGGAAAAATCTAAGGTCAGTTCATGGGCAGCTTTCTAACCTAGATTCGCTGTATTGTTTCAGAATCAGCATCGTCTGTAGAAGAAGTTCTAAGTGACGCCGAGGCGCACAAAGAAAATGTAGAGCCATCTGGTGAGGCTCAAGAGGATGCAGCGGCCATTACGACCGACCCAAAAGACACGGCCAGAGAAAATAGACCTGCATAGAAGTTCAATGCTGTGTTCTGTTTAGGGATCACCCTAGGCCACCCCAATCGTGTTAAACTCCTACCTGGCTCCATAAGAACCCATACTAAATTTTTGGAACACATCGGCCTATTTGAAATAAACTTCTATTCATGTCTCTTTTCTCTGACACGGCTGTGTCTGTTGTCAAATTTTTAGGCACTTCGTCTAACGAAGAGAATAAAGAAATCTATACACTTCAAGCAGATATGGCAAATTTATGGTCAGAAATGATATCTGAAGGTATCGATAAAGATCTCAATGTAGAGATAATGAGAAAATGACCGAAAAAGGGAAATTGTAAACTAGAACCGCCTGAATTGAATAAAGAGGTGGTTCCTTTGCTTACCAAAACTGCAGTGTCGAGGGACAAATACTTAAAAGTGAACCAGGAATTTATAAATGTAGCTCTGGTGAGTTTAGGCCAAGCTATCGGTCTTCTATACGATGAGACAGCAGATAGTCCTGTTAAAAATCAAATTCTAGAGAGAATGTGTGATTCTAGTCAGCTGTTATACGAACTAATGTATCAGTTAAATAAGACTCGAAGATTCTAAATTTACCCATCTGTAGCTGAAAAATATAAGAAGTCGCTTCAGGAGTCAGTTGTGGACTTTACTTTGTTTGGGCAAGATCTGACGGCCTGTATTAAAGCGGTAAAGTCAGCTGAAAGATTATCTCAGGCGGGCCCCAGTTGAAGGCTGTTTCCACTGTTCCAGAGTCAACAATCGAACCGTCAAGTGAAGAGGCAGCCATTTACTAAGAACATGTCCAGCCAGAAGTTTAATAGCCGGCCGTATTTCTATGTTTAGACAAGCTTGATCTGGTAATCTGGCAGTTGTAAAATGTCTCCCGTGTGAAAATCAGTTTTTGTCTTCATATTTTTTGGTATCCAAAAGTAATGGACAATATAGATTTGTCTTAGATCTAAAGGAATTAACCCTAGACTAGTCACAGAATGAAATATCGCACTACTGGTCACCTATATAGGGATTCGCCGCATGTGAGCTTAACATAAAGAAGACCCGGGAGTTGCTCTCATCTCTGGGATTCATTATAAATACAAAAAAGAGCCAGTTAGTTCCAAGCAAAAGATGTAGATTCTTGGGGTTTATCTTAGATTCAGGAGCTATGGCTATATAGCTGCCTGTTGATAAACAAAAGAAAGTTCTAGCTTTGTTTGCACAGCTAAAAGAATGTCATCAATGCTCTATTCGAAAGTTTGCACATTTTTTGGGTATACTAGTTTCTTGTTGCCCTGCCATTGAGTATGGTTGGGCACATACTAAGCAGTTCAAACGTTTCAAATTTTTGGAATTAAGAAAAGTTGCAGAGGACTATGACAGTAAGATTGCTATCCCTAGAGCTTTGTTTAAAGAATTTATGTGGTGGGAGAACCATCTAAGGACCTCTGTTGGTCGCATTAGATCTTTCCGTTTTGCAAAGACAATCTACCCAGATGCATCCAGTCTCGGTTGGGGTGCGGAACATGACGGTAAAGTAGAATATGGTGATTGGAATGTAGAGGAAAGTAAAAATCATATTAACTATTTAGAACTGCTTGCAGCTTTTAATGGTTTATGGGCTTTTGCCGGGGGAGATCTAGGGACTGAGATTCTTTTGAAGATTGATAACACAACTGTCATTTCCTACATCAATAGAATGGGAGGAATTAAATATCAGGATCTAAACCACATTACCCAGGAAATTTGGGAATTGTGTCAGAGTAGAAGGATTTGGATTTTCGCAACATATATAATTTTATTTCTATGTATTCCCGCCTTTCGCCCTAATTCTTCGGTCACTCTGATGATGGATCAAGCTTGTGTTATATTTGTAGTGCCTGTTTGGAAATCCCAACCTTGGTAACCATTATGGTCATCGTTGTTGGATTCTCCACCGATAATTTTCTAACCTGCTGATGATATGCTTCTTTCACCTTCCAGGGAGTTCCAGCACCCTCTAGCAGGGAAGCTTTCGTTAATGGCAGGTAGATTATTCGCCAATCCTTTATAAAAAAAGAATTTTCAATTGAGTATCTAGCAAGCTCTATCACGGATTCAACTTACCTTCAGTATGGGAAACCGTTGTTAGAATGGGTCGATTTTTGCAGAACCAATCAGGTTGACATTTTTCACCCAGATATATCACAGGTGGCGGATTGGTTAATCGGAAAGTTCAAGATTGGTTTATCCTATGGTAGTGTAAATACTTATAATTCTGCTCTATCTCTGATTTATGGAACAACTCTGGGGAAAGACCCATAGCTGATTCGTTTAATGAAAGGCTACAATGAAAGAAGACCGTCAAAACCAAAATACGATAAAATTTTTGATTTGGAACCAGTTATTACTGGGTTGGAAAAGATGGACCTCTCGATTCTCTGGATTTGTCTAGTTTGACTACAAAGCTGGTGGTTTTGTAGGCCCTGGTGACAGCACATCGGAAACAAACGTTATCCTTGATAAAAATAAAAAACATTACTGAGAACAAAGAGGGCCATAAAAAGTCAGCGATATGTGTTGGTAGAGTGCTAAAATTTTACTTAAAAGTGACGGCTGCGCTTAGAGGCGACTGCGAGGAAATGATTTTGACTACGGGGAAACCTTTCAAGCCAGATTCTTGGGATTTGTTGTGTCATTAATCGTACTACATTATAAAAAACCGAAGAAAATAATTCATTTATGCTTGGCGCTCATTTTTGTACAGCCCAGAAAGAGGGGGCTGTTTTTGATGAGATTTCACGATTTTTTGTACATATCAACTACAATTATTTGTATATTCGCGCTCGAGCAAAATTTACTTGTTACCAACTTTATAATCCGTTAGTAAGGGAACTTCATAGCAATTAAAAACTCTGATCACCAACTTGATAAAAGAACGTATGATTGACTTATGAATAAACTCTCATTTTACTCAATTTTTGCGCAACGAAATTTTTTCAATTTCGTACATTATGAATAAAACAATGATGATGCTTCATAGTATGCTTAATCGAAAGCCAACAATCGCTTTCCATGCAAATTCTTAATTTCAGCCCATGTTTATGTTATAATAAGAAAAATATTATTATTTCAAAAATTATAACCTGCAAAAATCATCTTATAATTTGTATAGAGACACGGCAGTGCCTCGTCGTGACGTAAGGGCTAAATGGCGGCGATTTATGCTTGGCGCACGAGACACTACCGTATCTCTTGACCATAAAGACATTATTATTCCACTGACGTAAATAAGTTTACAAACAATAAAATTTTAACGTGACAAGAAATTATCAATAGTAAATTGATATGGTTGATAACAATTGATAGCTATATTGAAGTTTAATTTTCCTGAATTTATTTAGGTCATTAACGTAATTAAGAAAAATTTTTTATTTGAGTTTAAGAATTGTATTCCTTAATTTTTCGACATTATCACCGTTCAACTCATCAAGCTGTGGAAAGAAAATCACATTAATATGGACAAAAATTTGAAAACATATCAGATTTATCGAATATTAAAATATACCTTTTTGTTATTTTTTATGAAAACAAATGTTGGCATCGAATTGATATTGTACTCTGTAGCAATATCCTCGCATTCGTCAACATTCACTTTGTAAACGACAAGAAAATCTTTCATTGCGATCGCCATCTCTTCTAGTTTTGGACCAATCCGCGTACAAGGGGCACACCAAGGAGCCATAAAATCTATTACAACAAGTTTATTTCCATTTGTTTGAAGTTTTTCATTAAGGTCATTCTGAAAAAGAATTCAACAAATAATAAGTTTTATTAATGAGTTGTATATACTGTTAGTAATCATTAACGTCGTAGATTACAAAAGAATGAAGCAACGATGTAACGATTGATTTCATGGTGATAACTATTTTATTAAATATAAAACTGAAAAAATACAAAATTCATTATGATAGTCAAGTTTCAATATGAAACAATACATGAACTCCATAATTAAAAAAGGAACCAAAAAAAGTTACTCATATTTTTAGGAGTAACAAATCAAATACTCGAAACATATATCAATATTCTTTTGAAAATTATTTCTTTTATTATAGCATGCTCTGATGTTTTATCTATGTTTTTTGAAAACATGAAATTGAAAAAGTTCTTAAGAATCGATAAAAAAAACATACAAATATTGAGATTAATGATTATTATGTGGAATTTAATGACTTTTAAATGACTCTTAGTTATGCTGGATTTTTTTTCTATAAAAAATTTCCTACAAAAAAATCATCTGCATATGTGTAGACAAATATTGTATTGTTCGGTCAGAAAAAACTATTACTTCTCTTTCCTTAAAACTAAGACAAAATATTAATTCAGAGTGACAATATGGTGAACAATATGCTTTTAAATTCGTTTGTATAAATAATTTTTACATTAAATGAAATATATTTATAAATAAATAACATATATGCAATTATAACAATCACCGAAATTATTTTTAAAAAAAGTGTAAGGGAAACTGGGGCAAAATTATTATAATCAACTTCCTCAGACAAAAATTCTTAAATAAATTGTTTTGCCTCGATTTCTCTTACACCATATTGGTATGTATCGATGATTACCCTAATGAGGATATTTTTTTGTGATGAATCAGCAAAAGTAACAACTCGAAATTTAATTAAAAATTATTAATTACCATGTCTTTGATTTTATACATCGTGTTTGTAAGGTACAATAGACTTCTTGAAACTGACAAACACTTAGTGTATAATTTGACTATTATTTTATGATGACAATTATCACCCCGGATGCCAACAAACTGAGACTGATTTTCTAATTAGAGTTTATGGTCAAACCATGTCAACTGTGAAGTCGAGTTGAAGTGATGGTATTTAATATAGCTGGATTGCTATACTGTCCCCACTTGGTCTGGACTAAATGATACTTTAATTACCTCATGATCATTAAACTACCGATAAAAAATATTTATTTTTCAAGTAGTAAATGAATCATTTTATCATATTGTGAAATAATAGCACAACAAATGATTGAAAGGAACGAAAAGCTTACGTAAAATATCACAATAAAAATAGTTTTAACTAAATCTATGTAGATCTTTTTTATTTTTTCTTGCGAAATTAACATAAAGCAATCAGTCGCGCGTTGCTTATAACAAATTCTATCGTTTGTCTATCTATTTATATATAGTGTTATGCCGTGGATAAATTCCAGGATTTCAGTCAATTTAAATACACAAAAATTTATTTTAAGTGATCACAAATTTATTGTCACTTTTAATATAAATTACACTTAAATGTTTAGCACTAAAATTATAGTTAACAACAGTACAGTTAATTAATCACTTCTATTTATTACTGAATATTCTAAACTTATTGACAATATTCTGATTCTTATTCTTCACATGAATCGAGAAAACTTTATTTATTTCTGTTTCTACTTCAATGATAGTTTCCTGTCGACTGACTGAATAACAAAAATGAAAAAATATCAAAATACAAAAGTAGTGCTACTAATGTGTTACTGCGCTTGAGAAAAATAAGTAAGAGAGTTGCCATGAGTCTCGAGACACAGGCGTAATAATATTACAGTCAGCAAAAATTAAATACACGTATGGTCTGAGGTAGTCACGGCGTAACAACAGATATACATTTATTTTACAATACATTTCTTAAATTTCTTAAAATTAACCAATTATTTATAAATAAGTAATTATAAATAACTTATTATTTTTTAATGAAGTTTCATAGCTGTCATCTTAATCTTGTAACATGAAAAAAAACATTAATTGTTCATTTTCAATGATTCAAATCTTATCTTAAACAATAATTTTATGTCCTCAAAATAATTTTCTTAAAGGAAAACAAAGGATTATACACTAAAATCGTTATAATTTATCATTTGCACGCCTTTTTGTAAAATCCTAAGTTTTTTGAAGACTTTTTCAATGACAGCTTATCTTGAGGCAACAAAAAAAGTGTAATAGTCATACGATGTACATTGTATGAATATCAATAGAGATATTCTATCAATATATCAGAATTAAACAACTATCTTCTCAAGAGTCCATTGTTTTTTTTCAATAAAATTGAAAAGTTTGTTGTTTTATTGAATATAGCAAAAATTTAAATTTTCTCATAGTAATATGTGAATATAAATATTTGATGAATGATGAAAGTAAAAGGAAAGTACCCTTGCACGTAGGACGAGTTTTTATTCGGCTCAATTTCAAATTAATGTTTTTTCTTTGGGAGCAATCGTAAAGAAGATATTTATAGAAGTTACTGGGTAAGTAGTGAGCATTTTCTTCAGGAATAGTCTTTAGAATAGCATTACTATAATGAGTTTTACTCCAGACATCCTGAAGACTGGTTCTGATTCGCTACAATTGAAAAAATACTGAAAAAATCGTTTAAAAATCACCTGGTTAATCTTACAGGTGTCATTCTGAAGGTTACTCTAAAAATTCTGGTTAAAATTTGTAGAATAATTAATTCACTTAATTGGCAAGTAAATTACACCTAATATTAACATTAAATACACTTTGATGTATGGAGAAATTAATCAATCAGCATTTTCGCAAAGAATAAGAATATTAATTAGAAAATTGTCTTCGATTTCGAAGGGATAAAAAAAACACTTATACTAAAAAATTTAAAAATAAAAATTGAATTGCACCTGGCATTAAATTGCATAAAAAAAATATTCTTCAATGTTTTTCGTATCTCTTATCGATGATTTTTTTATTATCGTTTCAATTTGTTTTTTTTTTCAATTCTTTACATGTTTTTTTACATATTATAAAACGCTTCTTACTGTAGGCCTCCATCAAACATTATGTAATCATAATTATTTCAACTTACATGTTATTCAACAGAAAAATGTTCGTGACTGTTTATCTATTAAATTTAATGTAAGTATAACACAGGTGTGTTACGAATAACAAAAAATAGACTAATTTCACTGTACGATTAGAGTTAAGAAATTATTCTTAATCAAATACAAAATAATTTATCTAGATTGGTATATTAATTCTCAATGAATAACATGAATTTTCATTAGGATGATTTACGGTTGTTAAAATTATCATATTCATTTGATATTTTCATTTAAATTAAATCTTGACAAGGGGACTTATTTGCGAACGGAAGATAAGCAACAGTAATTAATAAGTGATTCAGTGATACTAGGTTTCATTTGATTTTAATTTAAATATCAAAAATAAATCTCTATTTAATGCAAGTTGATCTGAAGGTGGTCTAAGATTAATCGATTATATGCAATATAGTTAATTTTGGTCTTGATCTGGACCAAAGAAAACCACTCTAATTAGAAGAATTAAAACCACTCTATCATGAACATTAATGTTCATACATTGAAAGTTTTTTCGCTGTTTTTAGGTCATTTAAAAATATTATGTGTTGCGTGCAAACAACTTGAATGGATTTAATTTATACAGAATTGAAGAATTTAACACGAAGTAGAAAAACATACAATTTTTGTAGTTCAAAAGCTAATAGGTGGTTTCAAAGTTATAATTTCCTACAATGTTGGAATTTTTTTTATTTTATCTTTTTTTTTAATTTTATTTTAACAATTACTGTGTCTCACAAATTTTTTTTATATTATTTTTAAGAGTGGCAAGAATTAACTTGGAAATTACTTAATGTTCATTATTTTTAATATTTTACTGAATATCTAATAATTGGTATAATCCTTGTAAAAGAAGCCGTTTATTTTCTTCGAAATAATCATTGTGTATAAGTTACACTATTTTCTTCACCTCCGCACGTGTTCTCAGAATTATATTAATACTGAAAGTGAGAAAATAACGACTATTCATATTATTTTCCCAGTAAATAAAAAAATAGAAGGTACATTGTTATTTTTCTGAAATGTATGTACCCTGTACCATAGTATATTACAGCAATTATGTCTTCATTAACAAGTTTTTAAATTATTAAAGTTATAATTTTGATTTAGAAACATACTATTCTTTACAATTTAGTGTGAAAGTATTGTTTAATTAAGCAATAATACAGAATTAACCACTGGATAATTAAATACCTACTTATGACTGAGCTGTAAACTTAATGAAAAACTCTTTAAAAATAACTAAGTAAATAGTTACTAATTTTCATCTTTTGATTTTACTTGTTAAATCAGTGAAAATCACAGCGAAGAAATGACTTTACTCAATCATTGATGAAATAATTGGTAAAATGTGGAAAAATTACTACAATAATTCCACTATATTACAATTATTTTTCAATAAAAATTAAATTTAAGAATTATTACTATTTAGTATCTTTAAATAAATCATTTTACTAATGAAATTGATGTAAGAATTGAACTTCTAAAAACGAATCAGTACTTTTTAGAAATAAATCAGTGAAAATCACTGTAAAATAGTTTATATTCACTGTAAATCTAAGTGTTTAAAAACTAAACACTTAAAATGCTTACAATGTTAAATTCCATAAACAAACCATAGTAATTTTGTACACAAATTTTAAACGCTTCTTGCAGTTTACCAAAATACTATAGTTTGTTTATGGTGGTCAACATTGTAAACACTTAGGTGTTTTATGATTAAATACTTTAAGTACACGCAGAGAAATGAATAGTAAAAATTACCTTGAATTTTATGGTAATTTAATGACACTGCAGTGTGAGGGCAGAAATTACTATGCAGTTTAGTAATTTTTACAATGTGTATAGTAATTTTTACCCTCACTCTGCAGTGTCGCCAAATTACCATAAAATTTAGGGTAATTTTTACTATACGGTTCTCTGCGTGAATGTGTATTCAGTGATTTATTACTAAACACTTGAATTTTCCCGGATTTGCAGTGTTCACTAATTTTCAGTCGTAAAACCATCACCGCTTAAATTAATGCTATTATTATCACTGCAAATAGTAAATATTTACTGATTTATTCTAAGTATTCTGAAGTATTCATTAATCATTTAAAAGACTTTTTAAAGGACGTTTTATTAAAGGATATTTATCAAAGCATAAATATGACTAAATTATAGTAGAATCCAAAAAGTGTCAAGTCTATCTAATAAGTAAAAAAAATTTATGAGTCACAATAAATCATTAATGAACAATATGTTGTATGAATAATTGTTCATGTATACATTCACTACTTATCATACAGATTTGAACTATCTAAGAATGAAAGAATAAAACTCAACAGCATCAGTGAATATTTACTTTCCATTGTTATTTTTACTATTTCATAGAGATGCTTTGACCAATTCTAATGTACATTTGTTTAATTTAATAATAAAAAGTAAAATGTGATAGTAACTGAATGGTATTATTTTACATTCTGACCCACTAAATTGGTAATATTAGCTAAATTGTTAGTTAAAAATTACGGCCTACTGTCATAGATCAAAACTCAATAGCCGCCATATATTTATTCCTTTAGATTTGATCGAGATTATACGAAGTGTTTCGTTCGAAGATGACAGTATTGTAGTCATGCTTCAAATCACAACGTTTAGAGCTAAAACATGATTCAAAAAAGGGAGATGTGGCCCCCCTTCTCCCGCCACTGGGCCCTCTGCCATCTCATATTGTTTTTTGTAACACCTAAAAAACTATCACACTCTCTGTGAAAATGATAGCGGGTAAACTATTTATTCTTCTATATCCAGGGTTAGAGAATGGGAGGGTGACTATCATCATCGAACGAGACACTTCGTTTGATCGATCAATTATACTCGTGTCTCGTTCTTCGATGATAGTATTGTAGATCTTTAGAGTCCAAGTGATAGTTTTTTCTTTCTTTTTTTTTATCTATTTATGTAGCATGTAAATACATAATATTTTTCTTTCGTATATATTTTACATTTATTTATTCAAATTTTAACGAAACCTACATGGAATGTAACTAAATTATCTTTACATTTACAGAGAAGAACACTAATCACTTAGATAATATTATTCAAACATACTTTCAACACCCTTATGCATTTTTTCTTATTTATCTCTCAGAATAACTAATGCAAACTGATCATTTTGAGCTTGAATGGGTTTATTATAAAACTTGAAAAATACTTGAGAATTAGGTGAACAGCCAGCACTGCGCCTTATAGTAGCAATGTCTACTCCCCGCTTGTACGCTGCTGATACTGCCGCATGTCGTGTACTATGAGCAGTGAATTGATTGGTATCTATACCAGCTTTACTCAAAAATTCCTTAATCCAATGTCCTATTGTTTATGACGATGCTGCTCCAAAGGGTTTCATTGTTGTAAGAAATAATCTCCTTGTTTCCTTATTTCGATGTTCCTTAGTGCATTCTATGTATCCTAATATAGCGGAAGCTACACATAAGCCAGGACGCTCTTGGAAAAAAGGTAACACCAACTCTGGTTGAAATGATCCAGGTCTTGACGTCTTTAATATTTCCGTAATTTTAATTTTTATTTCCATGCTAGACTTTTCTATGTTTTCTATATTTATGCTAGCTAGAGTTTGGAGTCTCTGAACGATTGCCAGCGCCAGCAATGTTGCTAATCTCTCAGAGATTTCCTTTAATCTTAAGTCTCTATTTGCGGCCAGTCTCTCAATGTGTGCAAG